CTCCCCCCCCCCCCTACCACTACCCGGTGCTCATAACCTATGTTTTAATTTTTCATTACAACCATGTGTTTTGTTTTATAGGAAACCCATTGCCGTCCGTACGGACCGAATCGATCGATGGTAGGAATTTCCTAACGAATGCGCTCTTAAGGGCCGCCAAACGAGAGTACGAGTCCCGCAAAGTGGCCGGCGATAAGCCTCGCGACCAGTAGTCACTAAAACCATTAGATTTTTGATTATATTTCTCTTGTAATTATAATTATTTTAGAGTTTTTTGCAAAACTTAATTGCATTTTACGTTAATAATCATAAATATAATAAATATTACGTACATTTAAAATAAATAAATAATTAATGAATTTTTTCAATTGAACACTCAAGGTGATTTTATTATTCAGTTTATTTTAACAAATTAATCAATTTTTAATTATGTTAGCATTGATTTTCACATCCGTTTAATTAAAGTCTTTATTGCATTGAATGAGAACTTTGATGGCATTGTTGTTGGGCTCTAACATCTTGTTGAACGCGTCCAGCGATCGCTCCAATGGATACTTATGAGTGACCAGTGGTTTCAGATTCACGAGACCCTTCTCTAGCAGATAGATGGCCATCGGGTAACTGTGCGGCACCGGGAGGTCAACACAACACAATCAATACACAATACAAACAATACAATTATCTCATGAGAGAGAAAGTAAATACCAGTTACGGAAACGACACACTCCGATGATGTCCACCTCCCGGAGCGACGCGTTGACTAACGGGGCGCTCACCTCGAGCGGGCCGAGACCCACGAGCGCCACTTTGCCGCCATTATTGGTGGCATAGATGGCCACTTTGGTGCTGCCCTCGTTGCCCGTGCACTCGAAGGTCACGTTGGCCCCCTGGCCGCCCAACGCCTCCTTCACTTTGGCCACATATGTCTCCACATTGAATGACTTCAGATCGATGTGAATGGTTTGGTCGGCGCCCAACTCTTTGGCCACTTTTAGCCGAAACTCATTGATATCTATGAGAAAATTGTGGGCAA